CAGGCAAAGACGTATTTCTTATGCCGCTTTTTATCGGTCCAAGTAGAGCTTCGTACGGGCTCCTGTTTATGACTCTATGTCGCGATGTATTCTTTTGCCACTTAAATCAATATTTAAAGTATGTAAATTATTTAATTGTATAATATTAATTTAATTGTATATGTGAGAGCCATTACTTGGACTTCGTAGCAACCACGACTCCAATTTGTCGAATCATTATCGATCATCCAGGTTCTTAACATGTTTTCAACGTCCGTATTTGACCTTTCGACGCTACCTTGGCTCTGTGGGTGTCGCGGACGCCCATGAACAATCCTGCAGTAAGGCCAGATGGAAACAAGTTCGTGTATTACTGCAGCCACGAATTCTCGACCGTTATCACTCTGTAAAATAGTCGGGGCTCCCCATGTAAAGAAGATTTTCAACAATTCTTCAGCAACGTTAACTGCGTGCTTGGATCTCAAGGGTCGAAGGTGCAAGAACTTGGTAGCGTGATCTTGGTAGTTCAGTAGCCAATTGAACTCACCATCGCGACACGATTGGAAATCAATTAAATCCACCTGTCCGCGAACATTAAATCCATCTCTCAATATCGGTTTTGTCACAACTCCTCGTTTTGGAGCAACCCTCTTTCTGTTACATGTCTCGCAGCAAGACACAAATATCTCACAAGCCACCTTCGTTATCCTGTACTTTTCTTTAATGTAATACTGCATCTTATCCCTTCCGCCATGGCCTGTTTGAATGTGAGCTTCTAACAATTTATCGTAGTAATCCTCCATCGCTGTTACGTAAATAACTGGTTCATTCGAAGTTTTTCGTTTTAAAATTACATACGATTCCGTTCCAATTTTTGCTAGCTCATACGTCTTCGCGTAATGATAATGAGACACTGTCTTTTTCGTACTTGGATCCTGAATTTCTTGCAGAACTTTTATAACCTTGATCATCTGATCTCGCCTCCACACTGTTCGATTACTACCTGGACGATTTGAATAGAATTTATCTATTTTTTCGTTAAACTCATCGCGGTTTACTGGCGTATAACTTGCCATGGCTGTGCTTGATCGCGAACTAACGAGAGAAATTGAATATACAGCGAGCTCTGTGATGATGTATGTTGTGCATGGGATTACGCGGCAGGAGAATTTAATACTAATTTTCTACTATGTTCACTATAAACCAAGTATATTTTGTATAAGGATCTTTGGAGTTACAATTTCCGGAGCACGTGCGCTTCGCGCCGAGAGAGAGTGCTAGTCAAGCGCGAGCCGAGCGCTGTTCGAAGCGCGCTAACGTTAGTCGCCGCATGCGCGTTCCCCGCGCGCGCGTATCCGTAGATCGTCTCGCGTACTACGGATCGATGTTTCTTTTCTCTTATACGTGTAGATGAAAATGGCTCTCAACAATGTACTTAAGACCTATTTGGATATTTACAAACAATAAAATGACAACGCATCGAGCCTCAAAACAAGCATTTCTCTAACCGCCTAAAGCGCGCCAGGCCGTTAAGCGAAAAGCCGACTTGTCGTCTAACAGGCTGAATTTTTCAGGCCATTAGACTATATCGTCGTCGATTAGCCTAACGGGCGGCATTTAGCTAAACGCCTAGGCTTTTAGCTAAATGACTAATTTCGCTATCGGGCTACGACATGTACATACATACGTTACGCGCGTATAACGCGTTTGATACAAACGACTTTTCATCTTCTACTGTCACGGTTAGAAATAATTAAAAATTATGTAACATAAATTGCTAGGTAATAAAAAGATTTGGGGCCAGTTTAAAAAATGTCGGTTAATTGCTGACTGAAGGTTAATCGAGTCTCTTCTTAGATAATAGTATAGAAAGAGATATTGAGCTGACTAATCTTTAATAAATGTTAAAATAAGTACAGGACAAATTTTTTACAAAGTAATTTTTTACTATCTTGTTTTAGTTGTATTTACAATGTGACTTGAATTTCTCTCGGTACAAAAAAGTATTTTAATAATTACATAAAAATCACACATAATAATTTGAATGTCAAAAATTATTTATCGTTACCTTGCTACAATTTCTTTTAAACTTCAATTTGATATTTTACAGAACTTCTAGATGATTTGCTAGTTTAAATAATAAACACAATTGTGAACATAATTAGAGATAATTTATTTAGAGATATATATTTGTAATACGGGTATAGCAATTATATTGAATATTGAAATTATCTAAATATTATATCTCTTTTATTGACATATATATTTATAAAAATGATATTCATTTATTGCTTATTGTGCACTAGGTATTGAACTAAAAATTCGCATTCGGTGATTTTCATCTCGCTTTTGCAACAGGTCATCACAAAATAACAATGACATTGATAAGATATTCCGTTATAACAAAATATCGTTTATAATAAATAACTGCTAATAAAAATTGAATGGTTTTATCGTTCTTTATATTTCTTTATGTCAAATAACTTTCACCAGTTTTCACTAAAATATTGAAGTTGTATACATTTGTCGAGAATGTATTCATTTATTTATGTTTTGCTATCAAACTATTAGCTTGTTACTAACACGTTATATATTAGAAAGGCGTAAATTATTTTTAAAATCTTTGGAATTGAAATTATTTTATAGTTTAAAGTATGTCAGTACTTATTTAATTATAAAGTAGTTTTAAGTAATATAGAAATGCTTATTCATTTTTCTTGCAACCATTTATCTTACCTTAAATTTCGTATCTCACAGCATTTTGATGTTATTTTGCGTACTCGATTATCTTCTTGTTATCTAATATATGATTGCTAGTTTCACATAAAATGTTGTACGCTTCTATTATCCTGAAAAATATTTTTGATAAAAACTATACTTATAATATTCACATTTTTAGATTTTTTTCTTCAAACATATACGAGTATGCCTATAAGATGTGTTATGTTTTTTAAAAGTTGATACCGGGTATAGAATTAATCTTAGTAAGATGAATTTTGCGTTTTTCGAAACAATTTATACTATTGTAATTATGACTGAAAAAGATGTTAATATTTAATTAAAATTGTACCTTCGATGATTGCAATCTAACACGTTCCAGAGACCACCGCAAACTAACACCTGATAAACTGATGATCTCACGATAAGTACAAAATGTCACGTTTCTAAACTCACTTTAATAAACAACTTTGTATTTGGAATATTGGATTTCCATAGCTGACAATAAGGTAACTGATGTGTATGGTTTTGGAATCTTTTTTGTTAACTAAAGTCACTAGATTCTTTCGGTAGAAGTTTTGATACATACGTTAGTGCCAACTTATTCAAATAGTTAAATTCTGCTACTCAGTTGCTAGCATACCGCTATCTCGTTATATGTTAACATGATTTTATGCATTTCTAAATTATTAAAAAGTGAATTGTATTAAGTACGTTACAAAAAGTGAAAAATACATATATTTCTAAATATTACGTGTTTATAATATTTAGTGTGTGTGCGCTAAAAAAAGGTTTTGCTCCTGCGCGGTAATAAACAACTGTTAGTATTGAATAGGAAGTTGGTTAATAAGTATTTTTTCTATTCTCGTCTCACAATTATTTTATTAATATGTACTTGATAAATTATTAAAATAAAATTACATACTTAATAATTTTTATTAAGCATATAATTTATTAAGTACTTATCCCAACGATTTTTCAACAGTGAAGTTAGTGAATGTATCAAATTGGGGTATAAGAAGAAGATAGACTGCGTCAAATAAATTTAGGATACTACTTTTTTTAAAGGCAACAAATCTACATCTCGTAGATCGTATATTGTAGATCGTAGATTGTAGATTAGTATATCATAGATCCGTTGCCTTAAAATGAATAAAGTACAATATAATATCATATTTATTTTTATATATTTCATCTATCGAACAAAATGACCAGATTAAAGGATAGACCGAGGAATATGTGGTTTAGTAAATTTACAAAATATATCACTAACGGAAAATCCCTAGAATGTGAGTCCGCCTATTGGACATATCGTGCTTCTTGAGACGCTATTGGTCACGATCCAATTTCCTGCTTCAATATGGTGGAACGTTTGTCGCCACTGCCGTTGGGGGTAATGGCACTTTCGACAAGTCGTTCGTTGCACGTGTATGTACGTTTCGTTGTGTTTACGTCTTCTATTCTGCCCGAGACCATCCCTCCTCGTCGACGCGGGCGCATCAACGAGAGGATGATCACGAGCGATGCGCTCGCATCGAACATCGTCTAGGAAGACCGCCGTTTCGTCGACCTTACGTCCGCGATTTTTCGCCGAGTGTCGAGGTCGCGCGCGGTAGCGTAGCAGTAACAGTAGTGCCGCAACAGCAGCAGCAGCAGCAGCAGCAGACGCAACGGCAGGCCGACGTCGTCCCGCGAAGATCTTCGTAACCTCCCTACTGAGGTGTTCTCATCCCGCCAGCTTGTCGTAAGAGAGACGCCCGAGAGCGTAAGAGAGAGATATACATAGAGTGAGAATCGTTTTGGCCGAAATCAAATCTCCGCGAGTCTTAGAATCTGCACGGTAGCTTTCTATATAACCGGCTCGATGAGCGACGGTAAGCAGGTAGGTGAAACTCCCAGTAGCGAGGTTGCTAATCGATTTCGAAGCTGTAGGGATCTGAGCGACATTGTACCGTTGTACCCGTCGCACGCGCTTTATCTGAAACCGCTTGCCAAAGTTAACGTGTCGGTCAGTCTGCCCCAACTGAAGACTCCAGGTAAAGAACATCATCATCACCGTCATCAGTACCGAGCGGGCCGCCTCTCCGGAGGATGGACCTCGACTCTCTCTCTCTGTTTCTTTTCTTTCTCTCTTTTTGTTTCCTCCTTTCTGTTTCTTCTGTCTCGATTGTAAGCATCGCGCAGCGGTAGATTCTGTAAATTGCAGCATCGAAATTGCACGATACTCTTGTCGCGATCTCGGTGCGAAACAACGGTCAGAGAGGAAAGATTAGGCGGCGAGAGGCCCAGCTGATTCGGATGAAGTTTCTAACCGATGCTAGTGTTCTATCAGCTATGTTCCGGCCATCTGATTTTCCTTTTTCACCTGTGCGTCTTAAAACGTAATTGATCTTGGAACCACAATCCGTTGAACGTGATTTAGAATACGTTTCCTTCGACAACGCTGTAACATGTATCTTAAAAGAGAAACAAAATGTTTCACTGTTTATGAACTTTTAACTGCGATACGGTTTTGTCGATTGAATTTATACGGTTTCTTTCTATCACATGACACTCAAGCTTCAAAAGTTGGGATGTTCTTCTGTTTACATGTTGCTGCATGTTACAAAGTTTCCTTCTGTGGCATATATTTATGAAAATGTATTTCGATGATAAAATTAGGGCTGTAGACATTAACGTTCTCTCTTAATTTCAAGATTTGATACAGCAATCGAAAAGAGAATTGTAACTGTGATAATAAATTTTTATAAAATGGAGGAGGAAGGGAACTCGTTTTCCTTCTTAAATGTTGTAAAGAATTTAGAAATCGCCAGATAACTTTGGCATTAATTGTGAAACTGCAATATTAAGAGACACAGCAGTATCTTGCGCCAAGTATAAGCGTAGCGAATACCGCGCGCGTGTAGCTTTACACGAGTACGCGTGTTGAGAGGCCCTTAGATTATCGGATCTCAATAACGGCTGATCTGATCGACTTATAAGTAGGTTTTTACAATACGACTAATGTACAGTTTTTATCAGCTTGAATTCTTCAAGTTTCAACCTTTTTATCATCTTACACTTTACCTTAAACGCTGAGTTTGCGATTCATTCACCCAATCTTAATTTGTTGTTAATTCCAGATATCCTTGTCACTGTTTAATGCTTTGCTTCATTTGTCAGCATTTACTTGAGCGACGATAACCGTTCAATTACTGTTCATTTGTGATCTATTAACTAATTTATAACAAGTTCTCTTTGAGAGATAAAAAGTTGTAACAACTGTCACGATTGTGATGCACTCGCGTTCATGTCGTCAACGGTCTCTAGCGGGGAATGACAGGAGAAATAGCGTAGCGCTCGATCTTCTTGGAAGAGAAAACCCCATGATCCAAGTGATCTGTGACGCGAACACATGCAAACAGTCCGAGTAAAGATAGCTTCTTACAGAAACTTAACTGCGCTATGAACAGGCAAAACGATATCGACATGGGAGGTAATGGAGAAGATACGCGCGCTTATACTGCCGGACGAATTTGCATCCCTGAAAGTAGCCAAGAGCACCCTGGAGTTCATTCGGCTGGAGGGCGACCTGCGGGACCGATGCAGGTTGCTGAGGGTGTTGGCCAGGCTGGACTTGCAGCACCTCAATCTGGCCGGGTTCCCCAATGTCCTCAAGGTAAGCGGTTGGGAACGCCGAGGCGTTTGAGCAACGAGATTCACGTGACAATGGAGGAGTCGATTAACGAGTTTGTCCACGACATAAAGGTCCGCGCGGCCGAGGCGAAGGACGACTTCCCAAACAGACACAGCTGGAACTCCTATTTCAGGGATGCAAAACACATGAACGAGTTGAAGGCCGGCGAGAGACCGGACACTATCCATATTACCGGTCTGCCGGTTAAGTGGTTCACCGAGGACAACGCGAGCGTACCGAGCGAGGCGCTCGTCACCAAGATCTTTAAGAAATGGGGCACGCTGAGGAGGGTCGATGTACCTGCCGCGGATACCTACAGATCCAGGATGCGGCTCGGTAACAACATTCACAAATTCAGCTACGAGGACGGCATATTTTTCGACGTGTACGTACAGTACGTCGAATATATGGATTTTGTCAGAGCGATGGACGCTCTGCGCGGCATGAAACTGCTGAAGAAGGATGGTCAGAATTCCCTGACCGCGACAATAAAGGTAATATTTAATAGAAAGTACAATTACCAACTCTGTTGAGATATTAATACTTTTTTTTTACTGTACATCTGCATCAGTGCTAATGTAGTTTATTTTCCGGGATTTTATTAACTGTAAATTTAATTCAGCATAAAGTGACATGCATTCTAAACGCGATAAATAAATTTAAAAATAAATACAAAAGGAAAATTATTAGAATGAATGTTGACATTGAAATAATTCTATGCAGGTTGATTTTGACAAGACCAAACACATGAGCGACAGCTCGGTATCGCATCGGGACTTCGAGAGAAAGCGTTTAATAGCACAGGATAATTTAGCGGCGGAGAAACTTCGAAAAAGAGAGGAAGCGGAGAAGAAACGGCTAGAGGAACTAAAGTAGGTTCTGATGAGAAAAATATATCTTTAAGATACCAGGTCTGTAAATATGAAACCAGAATTTGCCCATAAATGGCCTTAGCTGTCAATGTAGACCGTCAAACCGCATCATTGGCGCCATTTTCTTGTTTTAACATCTGATAAAGATTTTCAACTCACAACAATACAAGTTTCATACAGCAGCATAGTTTTTAATAGCGTTGAACATGACGAATTTTGTGCCTGGAAACTACAATTTGCTACAGCATCGATTTTCTGTTACCATTTGAAGAAAACTGCTGCAGAATCGCATTGAATGTTTGTCAAAGCTTACGGTGAGTATGACGTTGGTAAATCACAGTGCTTTGAGTTGTTTAAAAAATTCAACAGTGGCGATTTTGATGTGAGAAACGAAGAATGTGGAAGACCACCGAAAAAGTTTGAAGACGGCGAATTGCAAACATTGTTGGATGAGGATGACGCTTAAACGCAACAACAACTCGCTGATCAATTAAATGTGACACGAGAAGCCGTCCCCATACGTTTGAAAGCCATGGGAAAGATTCAAAAGATGGGAAAATGGGTTCCACATGAACTGAATGAAAGATAGCAAGAAGATCGAAAAACCACTTGCGAAATGCTGCTCTTCAGGTACAAAAGAAAGTCATTTCTCCATCGAATTGTGACTGGCGATGAAAAGTGGATATATTTCGAGAATCTTAAGCGTAAAAGATCATGGGATCAACTCCAAGCGAACCATCGACATCGACTGCAAGGCAAAATCGCTATGGACGGAAGACAATGCTCTGTGTTTGGTGGGATCAGAAGGGTGTGATCTATTATGAGCTGCTAAAACCTAGCGAAACCGTTAATACTGGACGCTACCGACAACAAATGATCGATTTGAATGAAGCTTAGCGTGAAAAACGACCAGAATATAAAAAAAGGCAATACAAAATGATTTTGCTTCATGATAATGCACCATCACACACAGCAAAACCGGTCCAGGAAATGATTTAAGCGTTTAGTTGGGAAATACTTTCGCATGCGGCTTACTCACCAGACTTGGCTCCGTCCGATTACTACTTATTTGCATCAATAGGACATGTACTTGCTGAGCAGCGCTTCACTTCTTACGAAAATGTACGAAAATGGGTCGATGACTGGTTTGCTTCAAGTTTTTGGGTGTGGCATCCACAAATTTTCAAACAGATGGGAAAAATATATAGCTAGCGATGGGCAATACTTTGAACAAAATATTTTTTATCATTTTCATACAGTAAACGTGTATTTTCTATTAAAAAATTCCGGTTTTATATTTACATACCTGGTAAAATCCTATAAATATTTCTTTTTTGTGATACAAAACTATTCTTGCTTCGACCTTAGAAAAAAGGAAGAGACGGATTCGCTAGCGAAAACAGACCGACGACAAAAGCGGGAAGAGAAACGAAAGCGAAAGGCCCTCACAAAGTTTCGTAAGCAAGAAGAGGACAAAGTTTCGATGAAGATCGCTAGGGAAGAACAAAAGTTGATAAAAGCTCAAAGGCAGTTGGAAAGCATACGATTATTGGACGAATTGTTTGACAGGATAAAGGTAGGTGAGAAAAGATAGGCGAAAAAATTTTTTTAAGATTGAAGGAGACCGAAAATTAATTCACTGACAATGTATCTTATAATTATAGACGAAAGTGGAGAAGAAAGAGATCAAGTTGAATCAGAACATCGTAAAAAAGAACGAAACAAAAAACGATCAGACGAGTGAAAATGCTAAGAAAGTAGATTCGGAAAATGACAAAAAAAATAAAGACAAGCAGATCAAAAAGAAGAAAACAAAAAAAGAGAAAAAGAATAAGGTATTTAATTATTTTATTCGTAAAATTTTTGCATTGCACTGCAACGATATTTAAGAATTAGTATTTAATAATGTTATTGTTTATAGAAAAAGCGGAAGAAAACGCAGAAGAAAAGGAAAAAAGGTGACGATTCCGCTTCGGGTAGCACGACCGAGGAAGAATCGGATAAAGAGACAAGTAAGAAAAAACTCAAGAGTGTCTTGATAAAAAACGGCGGTGCGACTTCGTCCACAGGTAAATTTCGTACCAAATTATATTTATATACATGTCTAATTGTGGAATATAAAAATGTACAGGCGTAGTAAAATAATATAACATTAATTACAGGTGCCGTATCAACCACAAATCTTCCTTATGATTATTCTGATTCGATATCGATGCAGAGGATACCAATGTTACCATTCCACACATTGCGAATGTCGAAGTATGGGAGATCTCAAATGATTCGGTCGCCAATGTCGGAATATTCGATGTCAATTCATCATCCCATGTTACCTGTGAGCAGAGGTCGAGGATTTCCGCGATACGAAATGAACTATGCGCTGACAAATCCTTATTTGTATAATGGACAATACTACGAGTATTTTACAAATCTGGTCGAACGAGACACGAAGCGGAAATCGAGGGTGCGCGACCGCCGAAAATCAAGAAGTAGATCCATTTCGAGAACGAGAACCAAGTCGCGTTCCAAGACGAAATCTAGGAGTGTCTCCGGATCGCGTAGTAGGAGACGCAACAATTCGCGCTCCAAGAGTCGTGGCAGAAGGTCAAAGTCAAGATCCAGATCGCGATCACGAAGATCGAGATCACGATCGCGTAAATCAAGATCGCGATCGCGCAGATCTAGATCCCGCTCACGTAAATCGAGATCGCGATCACATCGTTCGAGATCTCGATCTAAAAATCGCTCTAGATCACGTGACCGCCGAAAATCGACGAGTAGATCCGCATCAAGAAAGAGAACCAGGTCAAGATCGAGCTCTAAAACGAAGCGGAAGAACGACAAATCTAGTAGATCAAAGTCCAACTCCAGAACGCGTCGTTCTAGGTCGAGACGAAAATCCAGAAGCCGCTCCAAGTCCCGCAACAGGAATCGTTACAGGGGCAAGCGCGGCGAGAGATTGTCTTCCGTCGTCAGAGTCACGCGGGCTAAATCACGACCCACATCACCCAGACGGAGATCACCCAGTAGTTCTTGGTCTATGCCAAAATCACCAGGTCGTAGAAGTTGCTCTTGGTCGAGAACTGCCTCTGCTAATAATATTAACGAGCAAGACGTAAACAAGAAATCCGAAGAACCTGTTCAAGAAGAGACAACGAAGACAACGGAAACGCAGAAAGAAACGAATTGATAAGACTTAGTACTGATTTTGTTGAGTTGCATCGAGAAGAAACTTTTTAAAGCTACTGCTATATAGGAAATTATCAAATACAAACTTCTGCACTAGTACGAATATCTAAATTTATTTGGTACAGATAAAACTTTCTCCTTGTACAAAACATGTAAATAATTATGTTATGCAGTCTTCTTTACGTATTTTTATATTTATAACTTTTCAAGAGTTATCATTCTATACATTGGCTAATATGATAACATTAATTTGAAAGAAAATATTTTAATTTGAATGATTTCATCAATGTAAACATGAGATAATGACATATTAAAGTATATATAAATATTTAAAAAATCTATATGCACACTTTAATATGTATACAGGATGTCAGACTCGTTAGTAGCCAAACTAAAAATTACGGTAGATTGGGTTAAACTAAGAAGAAAAGTCATGTACCGTTTTGCAAAATTAGCAATAGTTATCACGTAATCGATAAAATCTACCGTAATTTTTAGTTTGGCTACTAACGAGTCCGACACCCTGTGCATATATATAATTATATAAAGTATTTTTTCATGAAAAAAGTTCTGTTTATTACTCATTGTTCTGCGCTTAAATTCAAAGATTAAAAAAACTACTTTGAAAAAGAGTTGCACAAAACTAATATACTTATTAGTATTATATAATTGTCTCAAATATATTTAGACATTTTCGTGTATACAAGGTGATTCTATTATAATAACCAGGTGACTTAGTAAATGCAACTGCATTTTCTGTATAGAATTGTGTACCTTTTTTTACATAAATAGACTTCTCATTATTTTGAACTGATAAAAAGTGTTGAATTAAAAAAAGTTTTTGTAATTCAACTATATGCGACGGTTACAGGCTGTCAAGCAAACATTTGTTAAAGATAAAAGCTTTTCTATCATTTCTTTCCTACCGTAAAAGATTTATAACTGTTCAATTACTAGAATCACTCTGTATACGAACATTCTTGTTGAGTGTCTAGGCAAATATATTTCGTACTCTTCGTCAGATTGCAAGAAAATAAATTTGAGGGAAACGGAATTAAATGTGTCTTTAGAGAAATGATATTGGTATGAGAAGTGTTCAATTCAACACACGTGAAAATCAATGACGTACACGTAGGCATATTAAAAAGAAGAAATACATTTTATTACAAACATATTGCATTAATTTCTTCGAACATTTCCTCCACTCATTTTTTTCTCATTTGACCTTTACTATTTAAGCGAGAAGATTCATTTGAACTACTAATCTAAAATATTATTTTCTTATAGTTTTTTTTAATTGAATTTCTTGCACACATCTTGTGCACATATGAAATGATTTCTGGATATTTTAAATGTCTAAAAGAAAAGATTGAACGTATATATTTCTCTCGCAGTTTGAATGGTAGATTATTAAGAAATTGTTTTAAATTTGTATTTGATTTATTAGCTGGTGGGGGCATTCTTGTAGTCTGAAATACATGAATAGGAAAGAAAAGGATAAGAGAGCGAGTTGTTACCTGAGATATACGAGGATGTGCCACTAAATAGCATCAAAACTTTTCAAGTGCACTTTTGTAATCATATTTCTTGTACCTCTTCTTGTGAAGAATTGCTCTTTCTCTATCTTTTTAAATCTTTTTCAGAAGTAAATAGACTACTATTTGATTGTACAGACCGTAACTTTATCGAAAATTGATTGTAAGTAAAATTCAGAAAGAGCTTATTTCAATAAAAGCATCGTAATGTAGGAATTTATATAAGAAAGTGATCAAAGCAAAGATGATCCACGTATTAACTCGGTAAAAGAGGAACGCAAAGATAGACAGTTTTATTCTACGATCTTACAACTTGATCTTTTCAGTCTTTTCTATTTGAAATACAATTTTGTTGTTTTTCATCATTGCGGTGAGCCAAACGCAGGCGATTGATCGATAGGTGTGGAGGGGGATAATAAAAAGATTCAGAACGCAATCCTTCCGACTTGCAAATTTATTTGTTCTCGGCATGAAAACGCGTTGGTTCATAGACATCGTAATAGTTTACATACGCGCGTTCCGTCCCTCGTTAATAATGATCGGTCAGCTTCGTGATTAACGCTAGTTTTTAAAGAGTATCGACCGGGCCCTATTTTTAACGCGGGATTCGCAATTTAATCAGTTGCTTAGTGCCATGGCGTTCGTATATTTTCTCTCCTTTAAAAATATGCGCTACGTTTCTGTCGTCGCTATTATAATTAAATACACGTGACGTATGTACACACTTTCTCGCATTAATCGCACCCCACATTTTACGGCGAACTCGCCCGCAAACGCTCTCCACCGTTGGTGCCGAGTCTCTAATAATGGAAGATACTTAATCGTTCTCTCCGTCGAAAAACGTTCCTCCCGCTTTGCAGATTCGCCGGGGTTATACTTCCCTCCCTTCGTCCCCTTCCATTTTTAATTTATCCCCTAAGAGAGTTGATCCTATCCTCGGAATTGATTAGATATTGACTACTTTCAAGATTCGTTGCGTGGGATTTGTTCCTTAAAGCGACGCGGACGATAGCATCCTTGTCCTGCCGTCTTAAACTATTGATAGTCGTGATTATAATAACGCACGCCACGCGGGCGCTAATTATAATTAGTAATGAGTTTCAACACTTCACCCTTGAAATACGCGTTCTAGTAGATTTTCGCCACTTGCGCGTCCCGTCGTTCACGTATACCTTCGTCGTAAATATGAGATAGCTAATCTGTCGAAAGAAGCTTTCGCTAAGTGTACGTTACAAATTTCGTCGGCAAAATGCCAGCAGAAATATAACGGGAATACGATAGCGGAAACCGAGCAGCAGCTGTCACTTCGTAACCATTTGAATCGTATATGATTCAAATGGTTACGCTCCCGAGAAAAAAAAAAGGAAATGTCTCATTATATATGCCTCATGTAATATCTAATTATATCCAATTCTAAAATCATCAGATCTTCAGAGATCTGACACTTATCGAATACTCAATGTTATTATCTATTAAGATCTAATTACGTTCTCTTAGGACATTTAATTGTAGATTTAGTTGGCTCTCAATAGATAACGTCGAATATTCAAGGAAAGCGTTGAATCTCTGAGGATCTGATTTTTAAAATTAGATCTCATGAGATATAATTAGATTTTACACGATTGAGATATATATAATGAGATTTTTCCCATTTTTTTCCCGGGCTCCGTTTAATTAGTTACAGAATGTCAGATTCTGCCGTCAGATCATATCGGCAGGATCTGCCAGCAGAACACGAGCTTAACTTCGGAAGCACGGATACTGCCGGTCTGCAATACTTCGCTCCAATTTGCTGGCAAACTGCTGGCACACCGCTAATTTGTCGGAACGAAAGATCAATTACGTACGCGTGTTCGCTGAAAATTGCTAAATTATGGACATTTTTGCGAACAATCAAAAATCGTGCGAGCGACACAAGACGGGACAGAATTTAACAAACGACAGCAGTTAATCAAACTGTGAAAAACGAAGAAAAACGCAAGCACTACGTTGGGCATGAGATCTCTAAGTTTCTTTGCAATTCAAATGGTGTTCTCGTGCGCACGAGGATCGCTACTTCTCTGTTTGGTATTCAAAGAGTCAAGTCTCGGGTTGGCACTCGAACGACTATGAATGATCGGAAAGTAAAGTCCCGTTCGCCAGGAGCCCGACGGCCGCCGGTGATCCTGACGCAGGACGAGCGCTATCGTCCGCGTAAATTCTTTTTTTTTTTTAAGTGTGAGAACCTCAGCGTCTTTACACCCCGTTCGAGACTAGGAATCACAGAAACGCCTGACTGTTTCGACAAGCGACATCGTCGCGTCTCTCAGCTCGACGTGAGGCATAGTTATAATCATATATTACGCCTAAAAATATATATGTATGTATGTATATATGTATATATAATTTAATCATAAAGATCTGGGAATCGATGACGTTCCAAAGGGGTTTCGCGCGTTTTCGCAAATCAAGGTTTCGCAGAGTTCCTAAAGATTACGCAAAGTATCGTTATGCGAGGAGCCCGAGGATCTAGGAGTAGACGGCGATTACTCGACGTTCCGCGAACTCGGAGCCCTAAGTGCCTTGCATCTTGGACTATTCGCAATTTTTAAGAATTTCTCGAAGTTGCGCTGAAGCCTCGGGGGGCAGCGAGCTCCCCTGAACTGACTTTTAAGAATTCGAGTTCTCGGCGGGGTGGGAATTACAGGGATACGAATTTCAGGTCGGAGATCGTCGTCGTTCGAACGTCTCGCGGTCGCTACATCTCCGTCGAAAAGAAAGAGGTCTTTAACAAACTGCGGGTGTTCCAGGGATCCAACGTGTCCCTCGGTCATCTGCGACTTCCAAATTGGTACCAAAAAGGACTCGCGCAGAGCCGGGATTGCCGCTGGTCCCGGGACCAGCTCCGCGTATGATGCAAACGTGTTGTGTTTCCTGTAATTATATAATTATAACTATAAGAGCAGTATATCTCGTCCAACTGCTGGCATGATTCTCGAGCAACGATGTAAGTCTTAACACGACACCCTGTGCTACTTCCTCGCGAGCGCGACCTGTTGAGCCGGCTCAATATCGAAAGGATACACAGAAGATGCAGCGTAGAAGAAGTCTTTCGGGAGGAACCCCCACGTTCCCCGGGTGCAGGGTGGTCGCTTTGCGAATCGCCTGGGTTTCGAACTATCGATTACAGCGCGAACTTGATGCAGGAGAAACCGACCGGAGACTGGGGGGGTTGTTGATGCCGTCGTTTATGTATGAGCGAGAGTGAAGGATCAATTTAGGGAACGTGCTCGCGAGAATTGAGAGCCGCGATGACGATCGATTGAGGCGGCGGCCGAAGAGACAGAGCATCGATTAAAGATACCGCTGTGAGGAGAATCGATCCTCTTTGTTCAGCCAATTCGTTCCACCAACTACCCATACAGCACGCACGTCTAAAAGACATCTTTAAGTCGCCTTTTAGACACATATCTAAAAGACGCAAAAAGCTTAAAGACGTCTTTTAGATAGAGAGGAAAGTCCTCTATTATAAGATAGGATTCTAATGTGAGACCGTAGGTTTTCAACGTCCACGTTCAATCGTAAATCTTTTTTTCGCAACGATTACACGATCTAACGGTCAATTTTCCACTAAACCGATTTCACTCCAAGGGTAACAAATTCGTGGTGGCATCAACAGATGAGACCTATTAATTTAACAGAATTTAACAGAATCCTACTATCTCGTGTTAGGAGCCTATTTCATAATCGGGGATTTTCTTCTACGTGTTGTTTGGGTATGAAAGTATTACTTGGTTTACTTTGGCTCTTTTTCTTCAGCCACTTGTCTCTCTCACCTCGAAAAATCGTAACTTGCCGTAACTTCACGGGATGGATTCGTAAGTCATTTGGCGGCAAGCCGCGACTTGATTTTCAAGAAACTGTGAGAACTGCGGCGATGATTTCTCTCCTGTGTCCCTTTCCGGTATGCGAATGATGCAAAATGCGAGTTGGCGTATCCGCGAGTGGGGAATAAGGGTATTTTCAACCGTTGCGTGAAAAAGGGGTACCTAACGATGCGTCTCTTCCGGGATTGGCGGGCAGTATCTTGTGTTTCATTCGATATACGTTGTCATGATAAATCTCAGAGTGGCAAAACTTTCTGAAACGCCCCGAGCTGGTTCTTCTAAGCTTAAATTTATTTCTCTAACGCGTATACACCTCTCTGGGATTTCGATTGGCGTAGTAGATAACGTTGTAGCGTTGACGTTCGGCGTTGGCCTCGGTACAATATCAATTTGTCCCTAATTAATGCGGAAATATTGGAAAAGAAGATACGCAAATATCTCGAAACGCCTAATAGCGCGAGAATTCGAAATCCTACGAGGATAAGTCCGAAGTAGTAAGGATCCAACGCTTCCGAGTTCAATGTGTCTCGAATATTCCGGGGTCTACCGTGCCTGACTGAAAGCTCAGAAGATTCGGAGTTTCGAGAAATCGCAGAGTTTGCTCATTTGAAGATAACGCGATTGAAGCTCTCATCGCAATTACCGCTCGATCCAGAGTCACGAGACTTCAGGAGGTTTATCCGAAGAATTCGGCAGAACCGACTTTCCCGAATCCGAGAGAGTTCGGAGGTTCAGACATTCCGGAGTCGAGGAAGGCTCCGATGGTGGATT